ACAATATACACAATATTGCATTACTCCCTAAAAAGTAACTAATTGTGTTTACTTTTTTGTGTTACTTGTTCTCACCTGGGCTGGGCTTGCTTGTTTGTTTTTAATAACAAATTATCATAAGTTCTATTTTCGTAATTGTAAAGGCCATTTCCTTTCCCTTTCACCAAAGTTGAAATGAATAAGCCTCAGGCTGAAGGACATGTAAACCCACACCTGTACAGTAGAGGGCGCCGCTCAAACCTGTCGCAGAAGAACAGGACAGGAGAAGAGAACAGAGTTCAACACTCTTACTTCAATAAAACCAAAACATTAGTTTTATTAGTATGGGTGAATTGGATCATCGAAGGTCGGCAGCAAATACATTGGTTAATAAAGTGAGATTAAATACCTAAAGTATATTTGCGTAATTGAACATTTTAAATTCGGTTTTCATATTTATTTTGTTGTAAAATTAAAAGTAATGTATTACCTTACTAGTTATTTAAAAGTAATCTGTTTTCATAACTTGTGTTGCTTGGCATGCTTTACCCCCAACACTACACGATTAGAAGAAAAGGTTATAGAGCTTAAAGGGTTCTTTATATATATATATATATATATATATATATATATACAGAACTTTTAAGGATTCCCTTCATTATGGATTTAGTTTTTGTTTTTCAAAATTTCATTTTGATTGCATTTTATGAATTAAACAGCTCGTAAATACTTTATCAGTAGAAAAAAATTCAATCGCTCCTTAAACTTAAAGGAGTCATAATGTGCAATTTTCACTTTTCCATGAGAATCAATGTATGTTATGATTGACTAACGATTATACATTGGCCGGGATGCCGATATTCAAAAGTGAAGCGTTTGTTTACCCCAGGGTTCTTAAACTAGCCAACGTGCACGCGCACTCAAATACGAGATTTCAATTTCTCCCCCGACATGACGTCAAGACGGGGCCGGATATACCATATATGGACACCGCAGAGGAGGCCCGCCCTGCCCCTCTCCCCATCATATTCAGTCAAGAAAGATGCAGAAACGTAGTGCACACGTGAGTTGCTCTGTGGTTGACTGTCATAATCCACATTCTAATGTTTTTTCTTTACCCAAAACTGACCAAACTACAAGGGACAAGTGGATGAAATTTATTTTTAATGACGCTGTTCCAACAACCATCTCAACTTGCTCAACGTTAGGTGTCTGCGCTAAACATTTCACAAAAGAATCTTTTACAAATTTGGGGCAATATCAGGCGAAGTTGGCATCGAAGCTACGTTTGGAAAAAGGTGCCATTCCAACAATCAGGGACTTGCCTGAAATTGAAACGGTAAGACTGTGTTTTTATTACTATATTTTGTGTAACAAACAGCAGCTAACTACTAATGCGGTTAATGTATGTGATAAGGATAGATACATTTAAAAAACAGTCAAGAATTAATAAACATAAAGAAAAACATAACGTTACATGTCTGCAGATGAAAATTATTAAATATCTAAAAAACCACAACGTCAAAAAAGGCAAAAACAACACATTATAGCAAACGTTAATCTCTATAACCACTGTAAACTGAAAATAAAGTAGACTACATCTCCGTTAATGTAATCTACATTAAATTAAAGCTAAACTTATGTGGGAGAAAATAGCAAAAAAAAACGTTTTAGCTCGTTACTGATGTTAATGTATGTCTCAGTCAAAAAAATTATCTTTACCATTCAGAGACATGTTGATGTAGACGTCCTTCAATTGACTGTTGTTCCTCTTCCGTTTCCAGCTCTGGTTCAGAGTCTGGCTCAAACATATACGGTTGAATCCCGTAGGTCGCGGCCAGGTCGGGTTGCGCCATGATCTCTTTTTGGAATGATATGCTGAAGTTACCTGCGGTGTCAAGCCCCCTCCTTCCTGCCACCAATCAACGCGCCCCTCATTTGCATTATTAAAATGACCGTCCACGACAGCCAAAACCTCGCATCAGATCTCGCGAGACAATAATGCATTCAGAAATAAGGGTCAAACGAGCTCTGTGTTTATTTTTTTCCAATTTTTCTTTTTTAGAAGGGCATGAAATGACTATAATAGAGCGTGGGTATCAAAGTTAATACTACATTATGACTCCTTTAAAAGCATAATGCAATCATTTAAATGGTTCTTTAAAGTTGAGTCTAGAACCCTACACTGATAAAAACGATTTTGTGGTGAAGTAAATACTACAGAAAAAAACAATGTAATTTACATGAAAAAGTTAGTTCAGGCAAGAATAAAAAAAAAAAGGAAATTCTATATTAGTACTCAATTAAAGTGTGTAGAAATGAAAGCGTAAATATCAACTTTACAAAATAAAGTACAATTCCTCAACTTTTTCTGATACTGGTGTTCCCATCATGCACTGTTACCGTTATTCTGTATTGTCTAGTATTGAGGTCTCTGCGTTCACGGGGTGTGTAATTTCAGAAAAACATGTATTTACTTAGATGTTTCTAAGTAAAACATATTCATAGGAAGTGTGGTTTTATTCCCTATTATAGCGTTCAATGAATGAAAGGAAATTACAACAAAATAGATATTACTCAATCTTTTACTAACCAAGTTAAAATTACTTTTCTTTTTTTACTATCACTTAACTTAATTAAGTAGAGTTTACTTAATTCCATTTATGTGAAATTTACTTAAAAATATGCGTGTGCAATTTATTTTTAAAAAATGTGTGCAAAAACTTGCCAAAGAAAAATCAAGTAAATTTTACTTATTGTTTTTTTCAGTGTAGAGTTCCATATAGAACACCACTGAATATTTGTTTCTTGTACTTGATGAACTATTATATATTATATAATGCTGAACTATTTTGCATAAAATGTTTCTGATTTAGAGATAGGCCTAAACTTTGATAAAACCCAGAAACATACGAATGACACCACATGACTTCTTTAACATTCACATTTTTATTTATTTTTTCAATTTGAGTTTTGCTTTTAACATTAATTTAACGAGAAATTGATTTTATAAATAAACATAAGAAGAATCAAATCAGCCAGATGGCATTTGCTTCTTTGTGAAGTCTGTGAGATTTTTTAAAGTTGTTTCTGGTTGTCAGTATTGCAGTCGGTGTGTGTCTACGGCCTCTGTTCCACGGTGGCAGAAAGGTTTGGGAACACCATAAAGTAAAAAGTGTTGCTTTGATTTACAAGTTCATAGAAATCAGAGTCTTCCTGTGTGTATTCAACCCATGTGTGTTAAACTCACGCTGTTAAAGTTATCTTCGTTCTCTACAGATGATGAAACCAGAGACACGGATCAGATTCCATCAGAATGTATTTACAGTACAGAAATGACATTTCACACAAAATTATTTTAAAAATTATTATTTCACAAAATAACATAAATAATGAACAAAACCAACATGTCAGTAGTTTTATAGTTATGCATACAACAGTTTTTTCTTTGCTCTGCATAGGATTTGTACATATATTGAAAATGTTTTTACTATAATACTGTTTGTACAATGCGACAGCAGACTGTAAATTAAGAAAACACACATCAACAAAAAGTCTTTGGCAAATGTGATACAAGTACATTCTCTCAACTGTAACGTATATGATGAAAACTAAAGTTGATCACAACATGAACTAAAACTGGAGTGTACAGTACATAATTAATTATGATAAATGTTTTGCTGAATTGCACTTGTTGTAAAGCATTAAACAAAAGTTGTTGTTTTTTTTGCGTCACTGAAACAGCTTGACAATCCCAAAATGTTTTTGAGTTCTGAAAAGTAAACCATAAAGCCGATAACCATCTGTTGATTAATGGAACAGCTGCTAACTATTCTGTAAACACGTTTGGAGGTTTAAGTGCTTCGTCTGATCAGTAGTACACGTTTGTTTTTTCTCAAAATCTGACTGAAGATATTGGTCTTATAAAGAGCACAACCCATAGTGCAAACAATAACACGGAGGGGTGAGTTCACTAAACCACTGTTCGCAGTGAATCCGGTGTAACACGATCATATCAGTGGTCGCAATTCAACTCCCTCCTGAGAATTTGAACTAAACACATAAAAATGCATAATGAATGAACATAATCCATGCATACTGTAGTGTCCTTGTCATTATAAAAACGACATACAAAAATGCATCGAATATTTCCAGTTCCACTTCTAGTCATATCTGGTGTCCGACCAGGATTGACAGCAGGTTTGATGAAACGTTAGTCTCCTCGTCTCTGATTGTTTCTCACAGAAGTGTGCTAGCGTCCGCTGGCGTCGACCGGAGGAGTACGCCTGCTTTTATGTCCATGCTGAGTTTGAGTACATACTGTGTTGAGTAATAGTTTACTGTGTGTTGAGTGGAGTTTTACTGTTGGTTTTTGCGCTGTCCACAGACACACACACACACACACACGTTAGGAGAATCTGCTCCCATGCGTTGGAAAGGTTTTCCCTGTCAGAGACTCTCCGGATGTGATCCTCCAGGTGATCTTGCTCGTGTTGTAGGTATTCATAAATAAAGTGCACTCAGACATTTGGATAGACACTGAAAAGTACATTACCAGCACACTGACAGCATCTGAAACTAAATGCTTTTACATATAACAAGACTTTATGTTTGTAACACGTCATATTGTTCATTTCAGTGTTTATTGTTATGTGTTATGTTTTGTTATGTGATGTTATATTGTAATATTTTATTTATTATTATATAATAACACATTTATTGTCATATTGTTCATTTCAGTGTTTATTGTTGTTGTGTTATGTTTTATGCTATGCTATGTTGGATGTTATGTTATTTTAAATTATGTTAAGTTATGTTTTGTTACGATGTTATGTGTTGTTGGTGTTATGTTATATTGTAATTCACTTCAGTGTCTATCCAAGTGAACAAAAATAACCACGTTATGTATGAATACCTGTAAATGAGGAAAAATATAAAAGTATTATAAAAGCAGATGTTAATTCCATTGTACGTTTTAAAAATCCTATTTACCCTCACTCCATGAGATATACATGTATTGTTCATTTTTATGAGTCACGTGTGGAAGCCCGTCGAGGCCTGCGTGAATGGCTGAATTGTCGTTGAGATGTTTTTGTTCCTGATTGGTCTGTCCTTCATCATGTGACCGCATGAAACCACTCTGTCCAATCAGCTGCACTGCTTACACTGGCAGAATATGAAGTCCGAGTCCATGGGTGTGCCGCCTAAACTGGTTTCCGTGGTAACTAGTGGCGGTCATAGGCAGTGGCAGCAGTTGGGGGGGCGGAGCCTCTGGATGCACTATAATAATAGGGGGAACCTGAAAGTTAATAAGAAAGGAATGTACCATTTCAATACACCATGATTGACTGCATATTTGCTTTATGCATCATAGTATTTTGATTTTATGTATGCCAGTCCTTCTATGATTTTGCTATCACAGAAATTAATGCAAATTCCACCATTTTCTTCACTGCAACTTGCAATTTTGTCTTATTTTTGCATATTGACAAATTGAACTGATTACGTAAATGACTCCGTGAACACAAAGTGCTGTTTTTATTTACAGTATAGCTTACACAAACATTTACACAAAATGTTTTTATGTTATGTTATGTTGTTGTGTCGTGTTATGTTATACAATTTGCTATGTTATGTCATGTCATGTGTTGTGTTGTGCAGTTTCAATTAGCTTTTTGTATTTGTTTGATGACAGTGCTGTCGAATACAAAATAAGAGGATTGTATTGTAGCACAGATGATATTATTTTGACAGTAGCTGACTGTGTTGATGGCACATGACTGTGAGAGACAGGAGGTTGGTGGCACTCACTCAGTATTGCTGGGTTGCTGAATCTCCAGGCTTCGTTGTAGGTCGTGTACTGTGGATGGCTGTAGGGATTCCCTGAAAATTCACTCCCTGAAATGGAAACATACAGGCATTTTAAAATAATCCACCAGCAATTTTACATCACATCTGCTGTTACTTTGGGAGTTTATGATAAAACCTCAAACTTGTTCAGAAATATATTCTCAGATTTCTAAAACCCATTGTGTCCTGTTGAATGAGTGCCCTTTTTCCCCTCTCCAAAGTTTATTTCTCGTTTGTGGAATTTGGGCTGGAAGAAAGGCAGAGGCTTTGTGTTGGTCCAACACTGTTTGTCCTTTATGGGATAATAAAGCGGTGTTTTATCTGCGGTGCGCTGAGGTCTGTCAGTAAATCTCTCAGTAGCAGTATAGGTATAATGGACACGTCTGCCGAGACCTGCTGCTGCTCTTGTTACACGGAGCTGCTAAAAATAATGCAAGATCGAACCACATTTTACGAATTAGTTTGAGCTCAGTGATCTCAGAATGCCTTTCGTCTGGAGGTCTGCTGGACCAGTTCATTCTTTAGTCAATTGATGTTTGATGGTCAATAGTTAAAGGTTTCCTGCATTCACACACACACCAGTGAAATGCTGAGTGTCTACGGGCTGTTGTAAACACTACAGGACTTCATTTATTGGTAATGGTGTCTGGTCAGTTCATAAATGTAAGCCACTCTAATATTTTACTATTTGAGCTTTCATCAATGTATAGATGTTAAAAGTGAAGTGTGGCATTTTAAAAGTTAAAATACTGTTTTAATGTGCATAGACAACTATGCTAACATTCAGAAGTTTGGGGTCGGTATGATTTTTTAAATGTTTTTATAGAAGTCTCTTTTGCTCACCAAGGCCGCATTAATTTGGTCAAAATACAGTTTTCTATTACGTGTCGACTGATCCTTCAGAAATCATTTTAATATGCTGATTTGCTGCTCATGAAACATTTCTGATTCTTATCAGTGTGCTGGTTAATATATTTGATGATTAGAAAGTTCAAATTAACTTGTTTATTTGAAATACTAAATCTTTTGTAACATTATCAATGTCTTTACTGTCACTTTTGATCAATTTAATGACAAATAAAAGTATTAATCACTTTAAAATACAATAAAATCGTACTTGATCCAAACTTTTGAATGGTAGTGTATTTGTTTGAGAATCTCAACAGTGACTCGGTGAGTTTGGGCTGGGACTGTCTGTTTGTTTGACCAACGACAGATGGAAAAATTGGCGCATGGCACAAAGACAGCTTTCATAAAGGTGAATCATAATAACTACGCTTATGTTTTTAATGCATTTCAAGGTAAATATAAACTCAACCATTGATTTTTGTTCTGTGCATTAAAAAAAGTTCTCATTTTCAATTTTGTCAATTGCAAACAGTATCTCGAGATGCTCACCAGGAACCATTCCAGCCAGTGTGGACGTTGGGTAGCTGCCCTGTCCGGTGGGCGGGACGTGAGGTGGATATCCAGGTAAGGTTGTGTTGGCCATATCCCGTCCTGCACACACAAAACACAACTACACTCACTAGCTGTTCCATGCATGAACCAGCTGACACGCAATTGATTGCAAATGCATTTTGAACTGTAGAAATAATGATTTTAAACATTCAAATAGAACGGAATCCGTTTTTGGTCAAAAAACATTGCGTATCAAAGGATTTATTCTTGTCCTTTCGAGGTCAGAACAGAGAACAGATGTAAGCCCAGATCATACCGACCGGCCCATACCGGCCTCCACTAAACAGTCAATGTCTCTTCTTAGCACCAAGAAGCTCCACATTCAGAGCAGTAATTGGGACTGACGCTTGGCTGTCCTACCCAACAACGCAAAGCCCGGACCCAGCCGAGCGCTGAAGCCTGACACCCCTCACAGACTAATGTTTTTGTTCAAGTAAGGGGGGCTATGGAGGGTTTACTGGGGACGCTGGGGGAAACTTGGCCATCGGTTCAATTCTAATGAGCAGGACAGTGTCCTTCAAAGCTCAGCGAGTGTAATCCTGTGTGGACCAGGACCAGGCTTGCCAATGACCAGAAAAAACCTGCAGGCTAAAAATGAACTTAATATTGAACAAAAGCGTCATTAAAAAACCCCAAAAAAGTGCAATTTTAAAATAGATATTGTTACTCTAAAATCTGAAATTTATGCTAATTAAGCTACAAACCATTAAATCAACGTGAATAGCCTTTAATTAGGCTGACTAACTATGTTGGCTGGATTATTAATCAATTATTTCTTGGATGTTGGTGTCTTGGCGAAATCTAGGATGTGTTGAATGATGTGTGTTTGTTTCAGTTCCAGAGATTTATGATGGACAACTTGTCAATAATGCAGCGCAAGTATGCATTGCATTTTCAGTAATTGCCACAAGGGGACCATTAGCATCTTTTTATAACGTCGTCTTATGTTTTCTCTTTTATGGCAGAGAAGCAGTTTGAGGGAAAATTTGCTGAGCAATTTGCTAAAGTTAGTTAAACTGTTGACACAGAGTATTGTTACGGCCAAAAGAATGCATGCAAAAGTGCCCGTTATGCTAGTTTAAAGGCTCCTAATGTTGTTTTGGAGTCTCCTACCACAGGTTTACGTGCATCCAAGGTCAAAAAACACTTTTCTTATAATGTACAGCATACTATAATGCAGCATTAGCTCTTTTCTCACAGTGTGTGAAATGGTTCGGTCTCTCTAAACATCTCCTTTCCTAGAGCTTCCTCTGCTCTGATTGGTCAGATGGTCCAGTCTGTTGTTATTGGTCGACGGCTTGCAGCATGTGTCAGAAACCAAACAGCCATTAGCAAATCTGAAATGCAGCTTTTCCTCAGCACTTAATACACAGTGATATGAACATGAACGATGGCGTCGGTTTTACTGTATCAATCTTATCAAAGTGGATTTACTTTAGCAGCAGAAAACAGCGTCTTCTCGACACGAACAACACGAACCAAACTCTTCCAGTCTCAGATACACTACAGTGTTTGAGGGCGGGGCAAAGCAGACGCTGTTCGCCGACAGCCAATCAAGACCAGAGACTGGCATTATGCAAATTTGTTACAAACATGCGCAGGTTCAGCAGGAAGTGAGACTGGAATTACTGACGACTCGTTTCAGTTCAGAATCACTTCTTTCTTTCGGGAGACAATAACTCCATTTGTCTGCACTTTGATTCTGAAACTGTGCAGACCTCATACATTCACAAACAGCTGTATTATACATTACATGAAAGGTAATATCTGAAAAAAGCAAAATAGGGTGTACACAAGTGTGTAAAAGAGAGCCATGCTTCAATGCATTGAGCAAGCATTCACATGTTAGTTTGCATAGTTGAGAATGTTTCAGGCTTAAGAATTGCACTGCTGAACTTCAGCTTTTTACCTTCCTCAACAATCTGTCAACATACAAGAAACACACAACACCTGATGCTGGAAATCAGGGTGACCGTAGTATTATCTGAAGAAGTGGAAAGGGTTGAGTGCAAGCACTCTCTTCAACATAGCTGTATTAAATTCGCCACGACACGGACACTTTAATGTTCCAACAACGAGGCTACGGGAAACGTTTGACCTCTATTTTCTACATTCAGGATGCAGCAATTTATCACCAGCCAAAAAACACGGCACCCTAATTAATTACAACTACGCAAAGGATGTTTGGAGAGCCAAATTGCCCTAATTCCCTGGATGCACGGTGAAAGTCGTTTGTTATCAAATGTGTGCTCAAAGGTTAGTTTGCTTTCTGTGAAGATGGAATAAGCATTAATTTGTGTGACTAGGAGCGTGGTGCCCTCAGGTGCGGACAGACACGGGTAGCCGGTGTGTCGGGAGAGAGAGAAAGAGAAACTATTGCTTCTTTTAAGGTGACAAATTCATTGCATTTCCCAACAGCTTTTCCCATATAACTGGAGCAGGTTTAGCAGAAGCAATGAACCAGAGCTTTCCAAGATCTAGCGTTGAAGCTATTTTAAGGGGCAATATTTTTAGTATGTACTGTATGTATATTAGTTGGTTGATTGATTAGTTTTTAATAGAAAAAGCCAAGGACATAAAAGATGTCTATCTGTGAGGTATTCACAGTTCACCAAGAACTTACATCTCCTCTGGCACAGACTGCTTCATGAATCATTCATTTTTAATAGATTATGCAAATTTCCATGCATAAAATCAACAAGATCAATAACTGTGGGCATTTTAATTGGGGTTGGAAAACATTTTAAGGATGAGTGTAATCTGTGTTTCTTTTCCATTAAAGGAACCATTCATCTGAACATTGGATCTCAGCCTAACCAGTGGAAATCATTTCAATATTTTAGTTTTGCTTCAGAATATTTGGGACGCTTATATCGTGAATGTTTAAACAGGAATACATTCAGTGCTAGTTCAACCAAAAATGTTGTGCTCATCCTCGGTCAGTTCCAAACGTGTGCATTATAGTCGTCTGGACTATATTATCTTATTTTTTAAGCTTGAAAGCATTCGTCCCCATTCGCTTTCATTGTATAGAAAAGACTGAATATTCTTCCTAACATCTCCTTTTGTGTTCCACAGAAGAAAGGAAGTCATATGGCTTTGGTTTGAGGGTCACGAAGGTCAGTAAACGCTGAAAGATTAGCATGCTTATTATATTCATACCTGATTAATACAAACAACGCACAAATCTGTGGTGATGTGAAACTGCCATGAAACAGATAATCAGTCTGTCGACTACGAACCCACATTCTCTTTCTCTTTCTATTGCTTTCTGTCACCAGCCAAACACACACAAACACAATAATGGGCATAATGGCTTCCACATAATTATGTGCATTTTAATAAAAGCGGTGTATATTTATCTTTGACCTGAAGACGATCGTAAAACTGTCAGTAAACTTCACACATTTCATATTAATAACTGGCACAACAAGCACACTACGTTTTAATTAACCGTCCCATCATTTATTATTAACAAGAGCACATGAGCGAGAGAGAGAGAGAAACAAATACCCCATGCACGTTCCCTGTCTGCCATGAGCAAATGATGAATTTGTTTATGTAAATGTTAATATTTGATATCATTTTGAAGCTCAGCGCTGTGATAGAGCAGTTAAGGAACAAACGTCCTCTGTGCAACAGCTCGTTAGTCTGAAGTTGGTTTAATTATGTCCGTTATAAGACCAATATCACTACACATGAGACCTAATCTTCTACATGCATGTAAATAAAACATGACTGACACATGTATTAGCAGCATTTGAGTTTCAAGCATATTCAATGCATTATTAAATGGCATTAAGTTAACTGTAGGCACGATTTTAGAAAGGGTTCATAAACAGACAACAGTGGCCTAAATAAAGGACTAAAATAAAATTGCTGAACATTAACCAGTAGGTCTATGGTGACACTGGCCAAAAAGCAAACTAATTTCAGAAGTGGAGCAAGTTATTATTGCATTTTGAATATTACAAGCACAAACCCTCAGATTACCCAGTTTATCTCAGTTTAGTTATTTTAAATGCATTTAGTTATGACAAGTCTGGATTTTGTTTTTAGGCTCTACTAGAACAGGTTTTCATGCTTGAATGTTGATTATTTTCCTCATATTCTCCATTGTTGCGGCTCCTCTCTTCCCGGTCTGTCAGTAACGCTCTGTTTAGTTCCTGTCTCTATGAAGCCCCTCCTTCTGAAAAGCATAATGTGTTCTGCTTGGTCGGCTGGAGCAGTGTGTTGTGATTGGTCAGTGTTTGGGAAATGTCCCGCCCCTTACCATAACCTTACCATAACTAACTCAACCAGGCCCCGCCCCTTTATTCTGCGTATGAATTATTTAAATGAGGAATATTGTGACGTGTTCGTTCCCGAAAGAAAACTCGAGACTACAATGGAGGCGTTTCAGGAGTTCAGAAACACTGACACTCATAGAGAAGAACTCTAATAGACTTTTTCATGCTCAAACAGCAACATTACACACTAAAGAAAGCTGAACGTAAAGAAGGTCCCCTTTAATTATCCATCTGAGCTGACTTTGAGGTTGGTGACATGGATCAGGTGATCTTACCTACAGAGTAGCTCTGTGACACGCTGGCGCCCAGGTCAGAGGTCGTGCCGGAGGATAAACTGGGCTTGACTTCATCCAGGCCTGTGTTTAATGCAGGGAGACTGTACTCACTCGCCTGCAGATCAAGAAGATCGAGATCATGTCAACATCGCTCAGCCTGCCAGCCTTTATCATGTTACTGACAGACATTCAAATCAAACTAAAAACTCACGCAACTCTAGGCGTCTTTTCTTTCAATATTATTATGCCTTTTTATTTTTATTTGTTTGTTTATTCTGTATATATATATTATTACTCATAAATTGGTCATTTACGTAAACCCTAATCATAAATATTGGTATGAAATATGGGTATGAAACCATATCTCCAGACCAGAATATCAGTGACTTTAGGTTGGTCTCTTTTCACGTGGGCCAGAAATTAACAACAACTATTATAAACCGATTAAAAAAAAAAAAAAAAAAACACCCCAAAAAATGTAACTGCATAGCAATGACCAGTATTAATACTATTTATATATAAAGTCAATAATATATTTAATTAGCTTTTATTTATATATATATATATATATATATATATATATATATATATATATATATATATATATATATTATTAGTATTTTCTTTATTTTTTTCAGTTTTAAATATTACTATTTAGGTAAAAAAAAAAAAAAAAATATTGGTTTTAGTTTTAGTATTTATTTCCACACTCTAAAAAATGCTGGGTTGTTTCAACCCAAATTTGGGTCAAATATGGACAAACCCAAATTTTGGGTTAAAAATGTAATTTAAAATTTTAACCCAACTTCAACTTTCACTTTCAACTTTAAATTTTTTAATTACATTTTTAACCCAACATTTGGGTTTGTTCATATTTGACCCAAGTTTGGGTTGAAACAACCCAGCATTTTTTAGAGTGCAGTTAGTAATTTTAGTGCTCCAACTAAAACTTATTTCAGTCGTTTGACAAGGCAGCATTTCTAATTTTTCATCTAATATTTATATTTTAATTATATAAATAACTTTATTTCAGTTGACAAAAATCTCACAGCATCCTAGAATATTTCTTAGCGTCTTATAAAATAGGGGATGAAATAATTTTGCTACAACAAGCTGTCTTTAGAGACTAAAAATGATGATATATGTTGTTGTTATAAATTTAAACTAAGGCCTTACTAGTTCACCTTGTATAAATACGATAATTTCTAAATCACTTATAGTTGCAAAGCCTTCAGAAATGACATTGATAAGATTTATGATTTCCACAACCCCCTTCCATTACAGACATGCTCCTCAGACCGTGTCAGCAGATGGGGGGGATTTTTTTCTTAAACTCTTTTGTTATTTAATGAGATGAGACTTCCGGCGTCTGCATGTTGAGAATGTCTGTCCAAAGTAAATGTGTGTGTGTGTCACAGGGGAGGCCCCTGACCCCAGCCATGTCTGTCTCTATCACAGATAAACTCTAATTGTGGGCTACAACTGTTCGTGGCTGATGTTGGGCTCTTTTCGGTGGAGGTCGTGGAGCAGAACAGGGCTTTTCTCATGCAGATGGAGGGGAGAGTGAAAAGGACGAGCACATGGCTGGCAGAAGTGTGGGAGGAGAGCCTGTCACATTTAGCATCTCCAGAATGGCTTTTTAATGCCCCTAAACACATCCAAAACACTGGCTCTGTTCCAAAACCTATGAGCTGCCTATGTAGACAGTGTTTTAGACATCATAGGCAAGCTCTGGAAAGCGGAGGCTTCTTCAAAAAGGCATTCTTTGGGGCGAATTCGAAGGCGATACCATACTAATGCTGTGCAATGAGCTCAGTGAAATATAGTATAGATATATATTTATATTTTGCAACATGAAAATAAGCTATTTTCTGTGAATGTGAGAGAATTCCGATTCATTTGTCACTAGGTAAATAACCAAAGCATTACAAAGTGCAGTAAATGTTTAAACTAGACAAGACAAAACAAGCATAATTTATGAATATAATTAATTAAAATAATATGATAAGAAATAATATTCTTAAAAAACAGGCAGTTTTTTGTACAGCAGGTGCACTGTAAAAAATGATATGATCAACAATGTTTTTACATTGGTCTAAGTAACAACATATGTTTTTACATCGCTTTAACTCATCAAAGTAAGTTAAGCAATTAAGTATTAATAAGTAAAGCAAAACTTTAATAAGTTATACAAGATTCAACTCATTTTTTTAAGTCAGTGTAATGTAATTTAAGTTGAAATGACTTAAAAATCCAAGTTGATTGTACTTAAAAATTTAAGACAGCAACTTTTTTTTTTACTGAAAAATATTGCAATACTGCAAAATATTCTTTCAAATAAATATACATGTGATTCAAGACACATTTCGCTTTCGTAATGAAAAAACTGTATTCAACAACAACAACAAATCTGCAATACCCACGGAGAGTTAAAGAAACAACAACACTGAATCGAGTTATGTGTGTGTTTTGTTTGATACATTAAATTAGTCGATTGTAGAGTGATCCATCCATCTTTAAAAGACAGCGAACTGAGTACAGCAAGGCTTAGTTTGGGAACAAAGCCACTAATACTAAAGGCCCGGCATAGAGAGAAAGAGAATAGAACGGTCGTCTGGTTTAGGGATTGCGAAGGAGAAAAAAAAAAGGTCTATGAAGGGAGAAAATAGTCTGATTAATATTGCTTTAAATTAAAACTGATTTTTCTAGAGCGTTCCGTTCGTCCATTTTTCCTTCAAAGGCTTTCCGTGTTTCCTTCGTCTTTTTTTCCTCCTTTTTAATACCCTCTTTGACGGCCTTTGTGATTGCGAGTCATTTCCAATTCATTTCGGTATTGATCTTGCAGTGAAAATCAGTTTTGTAATTAGCTGCAAATTAGGCCTTCTTCTGGAGGTGAGTGCTGTCGGCCTGATTAATCGCTGGAGTAATGTCTCCCGATCGCACCCAAATTAAAATCAACTCAATTAGGCTGTTCCCTTTGCTTTATGGCTCCGACTCGCTCTTTCGGGGAGAGAAATTAATCGTCACTTGTTGTTTAGTAGTCTAATGAAAGTAAATAAAGGTTATCCATTATAATAAATCCAACACTTTTAATACGAAATTGTACATAAAGGGTTTCATATGGTGCTGTTTGGATGTGTGTGTGTGTGTGTTAATTGCAGCTTTTGTAAACAGGAACCTTACAGGAAATGACATCATTGCTCATGTTGTCTATGGCCAGAGTGTGGGTGGTAGCTCATCTCATGTTGTTTTTCCTAAGAATGTATTTTTATTTTCATCCGAAAATCAATAAACCGAGGGAGTCCTGCTATTTGATCCTCACTGCAACGCTAGCAATTTACTGATAAACAATTATTTACACACACACACACACACACACACAACCAGACATATATGAACAACTAACATAGAATTGGGATTTTTTTAATAGGGGTTTATCCTGAAGAATAGTATTGGGAGCATCCCTAAAATACTGTAGTATGCTATTAGTATCTGATTCCCATCACTGTACTGTATTTTTGGTAGGTCTAAATGTCGGTATGTTTGGTTGCAGGCGCGCACAGAGAGACAGAAGGTAACGTCACTCACCTGCTCCGGTTTGACGTGTTCAGAAGTGGGAAAGACGTCTGGGAACGCCGGCCTCTCGAACACTCGGTCCAGAGCTTCTAACTGCTGCTGGGTGAAGGCATCGGCTCGCAGATGTTTCCTCAGGCTCTCCACACTGCCCTGAGAATCACTGCTCTGCGCTGAACCCTCAGAACCATCTACAGACACCCAAAAACAGCTTTCTACTCGTCTGGCCTGAGAGAGCAACATTCGACAACAACAGAATATCCCAGAATCGAATGGCCAAATGAGAGAAGGTAACACAGTTCAGGTTGTTTGAGGTTTCCTCATACGAAAGCAAGCTACACTGTATTTCCGTGCTTCATTGTTTTGCTCAAGTAGATTAAACACAAGATAATGTGCAACTTATATTTTTGCTGAAGGACTTATGTTCTTCCACACAAAACTTGCGTTATTTGACTGTAGGTATGTTGCGGAAGTGAGGCTGGAATGGCTCGTTTCCGCAGTCTTTCTTTTAGGAGACAATAACTCATCTTTAAAACTTTGCAGAGCTTTTGCATTCACAAACAGCTGTATTACACACTGCATGAAGGTATTCGAAAAAGCATAATGGGGAATTTGAAATGCTCTTTTTAGCTCTGAAATCTGCTCTTGGGAGTAAACAACATATCTGTGCATGTATCATGCAGAGTTTAGATGGTCATAACTGGAGATGTATATCATTTACACAGACATAGAGAGGTTAGACTAGTCTAACAATGAGGCTATGCTTTCAAAATTGGCCTACTAAATGCAATTTTTAGGCATCAGCATGTCTTAAATTTAGGGCTGGGCAACGATTAATCGCGATTAATCGCATCCTAAATAAAAGTGTGTTTACATAATATATGTGTGTGTAGTGTGTATAATTATTTTGTATATATAAATACACACACATGCATGTATATATTTAAGAAAAATGTGTTATTAATATATCAAATATAAATTATATACGTGCAAATATTTCTTAAATATATACATGCATGTGTGTGTATTTATATATACAAAATAATTATACACAGTGCACACACATATATTATGTAAACACAAACTTTTATTTTGGATGCGATTAATCGCGATTAATCGTTGCCCAGCCCTACTTAAATTATTAAATTCATTTAAATCTGCATTTAACCATGAATATTTATGTAATATACAAAAAGTGAAGTTAAAATTGGAAAATGTTTCTAGATCATAATCTGTTAAAAGGGAAATAGATAAATGTTAAAACTCAAGCATCACATAATGTGAAGCTGTTTGTGCATTTATGTCAGTTAATCTGATTTTATGGTTTGTGTCCATCAAGTAAATCAACTGGGATTAAGTACCTTTCATTTCTAAAATATTTAGTTAATTTATTATATATTAATAGGCATTACTACATGGTTATTTAATATATAAATCATTTTTCCAGGCAAAAAAAAAAAAGTTGATTTATTTTGCATGAGGAAATCTTTGGTCATTTCACACATCCTATATTATCTGTATTGCACTGCATTGGATGCTCATCTCTCCCGTTTCTCCAGGCGTGTGCAAGGCTGATTTGATTTCGCCTAAACCTCTGTTCTCTGAACCTGACAAACACACACCTGAAGAAAACCTCTGCCGTTTTGTTCAATCTCTTTACCGGTTAAACAACGCTCCACAAACACAGCACTTTCTCTTGGTTTTCCTCTGACCTGATTACCCTTGTGCTGAGTAAAAGACTCGCTCACACCTTCCTCTCTCTCTCTCTTTCACCCTGCCAACCTGCTTTAGAGCTCCTTTAAATATCTTCACATCCCGCCTTCTCTGGAAAGTCGTGTCTCCCTTACAAATCTGTCACTCTGCATTCGCAGCATATTATGTTCCCAGTGCGGCCCACAGGCACCGTGATGTATGACACACTCGGCCCGTATTGATTGACCCGACTTAGAGAGAGAGTGGATGAAGAGTTAGAGAGATGACCTGAGAAAAAGAATATTATGTTTATAATAAAGTATTATTTAAAGGGATAGTTCACTTTGAAATGAATTTTTAGTATGTTTTAGCTTACCTCAAGGGCATCCAAGATGTAGGTGTCTTTGTTTCCGCAGTAGTTTCAATTTTGATATTTTTAGGTCAAACCGTTCTTGTCTGTCAGTCATATAATGCAGGTCTATGGTCACCACCTCAAAGAGCATGCACAGAGAAGTCCAAATTAAACATGATTTAATGACTCGTAAATGTAAGTACACATTGATGGCCTAAGACACGAAACGAGCGGTTTGTGTGAGAAAACGAACAGTATTTATATCGTTTTTACCTCTTGTAAACACAGCCACGTCCAAGTGATCTGAGGGCGCCGGCGCTTCGGTCTGCGCGTTACAAGAGGTAAAAACGATATAAATACTGTTCGTTTTCTCACACAAACCGCTTGTTTCGTGTCGTAGGCCATCTTACATTTACGAGTCATTAAATCATGTTTAATTTGGACTTCTCTGTGCATGCTCTTTGAGGTGGTGACCATAGACCTGCATTATATGACTGACAGACAAGAACGGTTTGACCTAAAAATATCAAAATTGAAACTACTGCGGAAACAAAGACACCTACATCTTGGATGCCCTTGAGGTAAGCTAAAACATACCAAAAATTCATTTCAAAGTGAACTATCCCTTTAATAATATAGTTGTTCCACCGCATCCAAGTGCTCTATTGGACTGAGATCTGGTGACTGTGGAGGGTGTTTGAGTTTTGTCATGTTCAAGAAACCAGTTTGAGATGATTTGAGCTTTGTGATATGTGCGTTATCCTGCAATGCTCAGGTCCGCTGTGGTGTTTAAACGATGCTCAGTTGTTCTAAGAGACCCAAAGTGTGCCAAGAAAATATCCCTCACAGCAGTTGACCGTTCATACAAGGCAGGATCCATGCTTTCATGTTGTTTACACATCTGAATGTTGCAGCAGAAACTGAGACTCATCAGACCAACGGTTTTCCAGTATACTGTCCAGTTTTGGAGAGCGTGTGTGAGTTGTGACCAAGTTTTCTGTTCTCAGCTGACAGGACCATCGGTGTGTTTTCTGCTGCTGTAGCCCGTTTACTTCAAAGTCGGACGTGTTGTGTGTTCTGCATACCTCGGTTGTAACGTGTGGTTATTTGAGTTACTGCTGCCTTTCTATCAGTTGAACCAGTCTGGTCATTCTCCTCTGGCATTAACAAGGCATTTTCGCTCACAGAACTTTCGCTCACTGGATATTTTCTCTTTTTTCGGACGATTCACCCTAGAGATGATTGTGTGTGGAAATCCCAGTAGATCAGTAGTTTCTGAAATACTCAGACCAGCCCGTCTGATACCAACAACCACGCCACGTTCAAAGTCTCTTAAATCACATTTCTTCCCCATTCTGATGCTCAGTTTGAACTTCAGCAGATCATCTTGACCATGTCTACATGCTGCCATGTGATTGGCTGATTAATGAACAGTTAACAGGTGTACCTAATAAAGTGGCCGTTGTATTTATTTTTTATATTGTCTGTCACAACTATTGCCTGCTTTTCTTTATAAAGACAATTTACAAAGAAATTGTTTGGTATTTTTAGACAATCTCTCAGTCCTGTGAGCCATAGGCAAAGAAAAACAGAAGGTTGCACCCAAATGGGGGAATATCATTGAACGTTTTTATGTAAAGATCCTTTTTTTCTGTTTTATAGCCTGGTTTCCTCAAGAATCAGTGAGAAGAGAGATGAGGGGATAAATGCAGAGGGGATGAAAGTGAAAGAGAGAGGGATAGATGGATGGATGGAGTGATAGAGGCTCAGGCTGGAATGAAGTCTTGATGAGTATCCTGTCCTAGCTCATCGTGTCTGTAATACTCTTCTTGATCGCACATTTTTCACTGCCGCTGAATTCAATTGATCAATCATGTCTGTCTGATGGCACCATTTCAGCTGGTTATTACCACTGCGCTTGTCACGGTGACCTTTTCTTTCAGCACAGCACGGTTTTACACACACACACACACACACTGGACACTTGCTCGGTGTGTGTGTGTATCCCAGTAGATTTTTTCTGAAGCTTGCAAAACTACAATGCTACAATTTTATGAATGGTTGCTGAATGGTATTAAGGTTAGGTTATTAAGGGGTTCTGAGTAGTTGTTTAGTACGTTGCTAGGGTGTTTTGAATTTGCTGCTGGGGTGTAATTTTGCTATTTCTATGGTGTTATGGGTGCTTGTTAACTTTTTGCTATGTGATTGCTAGGGTATTTAGTTACATTGCATTGCTATATACAATTGAGTGTGTGATCTAGGCGGTTGTTAGGGCATTGCTTTGCTGTTGCTAGGGTGTTCAGGGTAGTTTTTACCTGATGCTATGTTGTTGCTAGGGTATTTTGTAGGAAATGCATTACTGTGTGATTGATTGGGTGATCTAGGTGATTGTTAGGCGTTGCTATGCTGTTGCTAGGGTGTAATGTTGTTTATAGGGTGTTCTGGTGGTTGTTTACCTGTTGGTATGTGATTGCTAGGGTATTTAGTGGACATTGCTTGCTTGATTAGGTGATCTAGGGAGTTGTTAGGGTGTTGCTATGGTGTTGCTAGGGTGTTCTAAATAGTTGCTAGGGCATTATGTCATTTATACTGTAGGGTGTTCTGGGTGTTTCTTTACCTCTTGCTATGTGATTGCTAGGGTATTTAGTAGGCAATGCATTGCTATACAATTGATTAGGTGATCTAGGCGGTTAGGGTGTTGCTATGCAGTTGCTAGGGTGTTCTGAATAGTTGCTAGGGCGTTGTTATGTCGTTTATATGGTGTTCTGGGTGGTTGTTTACCTGTTGCTATGTGATTGCTAGGGTATTTAGTGGGCAATGCATTGCTATATGATTGATAAGGTGATCTAGGTAATTGTTAGGGCGTTGCTATGCTGTTGCTATGGAGTTCTGAATAGTTTCTAGGCCGTTGCTATGCCATTTGTAGGGTGTTCTGGGTGGTTGTTAACATGTTACAATTTGATTGCTATGGAATTTCGTGGTTGATGATTGACTGGGTGATCTAGGTGGTTGTTAGGGCATTGCTAAACTGTTGCTAGGGTGTTTTTCGTGGTTGCTATAATATTTAATTTTGTTTATAGAGGGTTCCAGGTGTTTGCAAAGACAGTTGCTAAAGCGTTCAGGATATTTTTTTATAGTATCTCACTA